TGCCCCATGACTTCCCAGAGTTCAGGTCGCCAAGCAACTGCTCCCCTGCTATTACACTTTTCATGCATCACTATCTCTGCTTTGATGTCATGGTTGCCGGGGTAACCATATGACCTAGACTCTGTGACTCTTTGCCATATATGAATAAATTTGATTTTGACAAACAAAGCCGAAGTGGTTGTTGTGCGGAGTGTCGCTTTACAGACCCTTTTTTTTGTCTTAACCTCTCAACTTCAAAAAACAACAGCTGCTAACTGAGCATTTGAACTTGTTAAAAAAGGGATTTAAGGGGTTAAATTGTTACTCATCGTAAAAACTGGCCTACATCCCTGTCATCTCTGTAAAGAGGGTTTGCATCTTCATAGCCATGGTGCAGCCACTACTCTAAATGGATTCCCAATGGCAGCCATCCACAGATAATCCACCATTGAAAAAGCGAATGATTAATGCCTGTGACATAAATCTACTGTAGATTGCGTCTGCCAAAACCCAAGAAATGTGGTAATCTCTAGCGGTCATTGCCTCCAGTGATTCAGCCACAAAGCCGTGGGATAGTGCTTTATTTAGATTAGGTCAGAGTCAGTGCAGCGGGATTGAACTCGAGGGGATGTCATTCATATAAAGCCTATAACACCAAACTATGGCCCTGTTTTCCTCTTCTGCTGACTAGGAGAGCAAGGGATGATCAGGTTACAATGACACCAAAACATCAGAAAGAATTTAAGGTGATGACTAGAAAAAGGTGCGCTGATTGGCAGTGACCTCCTCAGGGGTGTGCTGAAAAGGAGGTCTGGGGTGGCACATGTCCATCTGAATTCTGGTCACCCAAGATGTGACCATGCAAATCTTAATTTATTGGCATTATGTCTGCTCAGAGGTGGGAGTTATGATCAAAAAGGTTTATAGGGCTGTAATGCAACAAACTGCTTCACTTTTGTTGATATTGCATATCCCAGGGTGGCTTTTTAGTACTTAAGGTATTAAGTGAGGAGATTTTATATTGTTAAAAGGGATTATTAGCACAGATAGAAATAATTAAGTAATACCTTTTAAGACAGTCAATTTAAGACAGCGGGGTAAATTTAAGACTAAGCAAGCTCTTCTGTTTCGGAGTAGCACATGCCAGTAATTACAGCCACAATGGAATAGCGTCTATCCTCGAAGATAAATGAGACAATGAGCAAGAAAATAAAGTGCTGGTGATGTTCAAGATATGCGTCAACCCAAACAGAACTGAGGTTAAAAAAGTGTGAAAATTCAAGGATTGTTTTCTGCGTCACAGAGAGTGTTAATGCTTTAATTTCCACTTTCTCATTAACTATTCAATTTTGTCCCGTTCCAGCAATTTATGTCTGACAACCAGAAATTAGATTATCAGTGTGATACGTCTAGACTTTGTCAGAGACAAATCAGCAGCCGATCTTTGCAGTACAACATCTAAATAGGATGCCTGGGATAAACCCTTTTGTTGCAGCACTTTGCTAAGAGCATCTAAATGAGCCGACCGCTGTGTTCCCTGATAATAATCTGTATAAGTCAGAGACTTTTGTTTGCTTCCCTGGAGGGAATGAAATGCTGATGCTGAGGCCTGTTACACGATGATCTGTCTCACTCTCTTCCCTCGACAAAGATAATCCGTCTAGTTCAGAGTGTGCCGCGCCTGTTTGCCCGCGAGCTTCAGTGTACAGGCTGGCGGTGGCACAGTTGAGCAAAGCTGCAGGGAAGTAGGTAAAGGACAGGGAGGAATCAGCCCGCGTTGCGTCTGCTGGTGCCAAGGGCGATCTGCCGAATGGGAAGCAAGCCCAGAATATGTGTACAGATAGGGAACAATCTGAGGGATCTCTTCCTCACTAAGTAAGCAGGAAATGAGGGTAATAATGAGGAGTCTCTACAGGTGAGAGGAGGCAATGCAACACCTTTTTCACAGAAAGGAGGATTAACTTCGTCTGAATGTGCTCTTTAATGCCACCTCTGGAGGTTAATCTGAGAGACAGAAACACAGGGCTGCCAAAGTCTGTCCAAAAGCTGCATGTGGAGTCAACAGAGCTAATTTGATTGGTTAAATGATTCTTTAGCTAATTTATAGAAAATACAGTGACAAGATTTAGTCCACCAGATCCAAAATGTGAATAAGTTACTCTCATTCACAGATGTGATGTCAAATGCGCTGGGATTTCAGACTATACAGTAATTATAGTTTGGGAAACAGTCCAGGAAACACATGCATTAAAAACACATTCATGAGTCTGCTATTTTCTTAAGTATTAGTTTGACTTCATGGCTCTTAGTTTCTCAAGTACAGCACATTGACAAATATGTAATTCAAACTTTTAGTAACACTTTATTTGACACCTATCCCTCTAACACATAAATATACGTATAATGCATTATAATCACATTATAGCACTGTGTAACTACGGTTATAAACACTCATAAATGATCATAATGCTTTATAGCAATAATCATAACACATTTTCAAGCATTTTATCATGACTTACAAGGTCAGGTATTATAATGTGTTATAACTGTTAACAACTCACTGACAAAGCCCACATAGATAATGAAAGGCAACTGTAGTTAAAAGTTATAACATATTATAATACCTGACCTTGTAAGTCATGATAAAATGCTTGAAAATGTGTTATATGCCTGTATAATGCGTTATAGAGATAGGTGTCAAATAAAGCGTTACCAGATTTTTTAACCTTTTAACTTTTTAAAAATCCCAAATAATCAGTTATATTCAAAGAAACAGAAACCACAAATAACCTCAGTATTCAAAAACCTAACAAATCTGAGTCACACCATCAAGTCTGAAAATGTGTGTTCAACTTTCAGATGGACTAGCATAAAACAAAATAGAAGAAGAGAGAGAAACAGACAGAAGCAGAAGAAAAAAGGTGAGGAAATCAAGAAAGAAGAGGAATAAAAAGTCAATGATGAAGACTGAAGAGAAAAGAAAATGAAAGAGACAACCTAGAGTTGTAGAAGAAGAAAATGAAATAAAAAATAAAAAAGGGGAAACAAAAGCAGATACGGAGGAAATCCCTTCAAATCAAGATTTCGCTGCTTATCTTATGATTCATGTTCTCTGTCTGGTTTACCTCCTAGTATACCAGCTCTGCCCTGAAGCTGTCTGCCCAACAGCTTTACTCTGTACTTCTGGTCTGTATTTAATCTAATTGAGAAAATGACCTTTAAAAGGTGCTTGTCCTGAGACAACCACAAACACAAGCTGATGCTGTGAAAAGATTGACACGCCGTCTAATTGGCTGATCAGCTTGCTTCTCTTAATGTTTGTCCACTCACGTTTAGAAGATGATTTTTGACATTCTTATAATGTTTTCCCTTGGAGTCTCTTCTATTCAAATTCACTAAAATCATTAAAGAAAATACATGGAGATTTTTGCTCTTAACCTTCAACGTTTTTATATCAAGGTCAAACTGAAAAGAAACCGCTCCCTCTATCACTGATTTTAGAAACGACAGAAGCATTAAAGTCTCTAATACTTAGAAGATGTTGTAAAGGACTACAGGAACCTTTTATGACTGTTTAAAGCACATTGATGACTAATTTTTATAATTGTTTATAATCCTTAAAAATCCCTTTTCATAGAACTACAGCTGAGCTCTACATCCAGCTTTGTGTTACGTCCCAAACAGGGCCGGCTTCCGGGCGGTTAGTAACTTCTGAATGTTTATCTGAGTCTGTGCTGCTTCCACCACTGAGGCAGCATGGGAGTCTGGCACACACACATACACACACTTACACACACACACACACATCGCTGTGAGCTCAGACTGTGACCGTGACGTCATGTGGGTGGCCGTTCCCGTGTACTCAGCACTTTTCACCCTGCCTCCTCCTTCTCTTCTTTGCCCTACAGCGGCACATCACACACTGACCTCTGGCCATCCTCTATGGAGGGCCGCTGGGGGGGAAGGGGGCTGTCATGCATGCAGGTCAGGGGGGACAGGAGCTGGAGTTTTAAGGGGGAAGGTTACTGACTGAGCATCATTTGCACCATGATAGACGCTCTGCGACAGGGTCTGGACGTCTGCCTGCTTGTCTGGTGGTGCCGTCCAGATAGAGTGAGAGACAAATGGGGGGGAGGAAGGGGGAGGAGGGGGGAGCAAAAGCAGCAGCAGCAGCACAGTTACACAGAGAGCGCCTGTCTCACATGCTCCCCCATGTGCAGACTGAGCCAAGCAAGAACGGGAGCTGCTTTATGTAAGTGTCTCCTAACAGTCCCAGACTCACATGTTTGTGTTGTGGTCATCCTGTACAGGATGGACAGGAGGAGGGTGAGGAGGGTAAGGAGGGGAGGGGGTTCAGTCTGGACCAGAACCACAGTATCCCATCGTCTGTCTTTGTCTGAGTGTTATTCTGGTTTGTTCGTGCATGTATTCACTGTCTGTCTCTGTGTTGTCAATACTCCTCCTATCATCTTCATCTTCCTGCTGCTGCTTCTGCTCCCTGCTTCACCCCTGACTGAGGGAGGGCTCAAAGCTGGGACGGGGAAGAAGAGGAAGAAGAGAAAGGGAGGGGAGGGTGAAGAAAAGCAGGGAGGGGAGGAGGACTGTTTCCCTTAAGAACTAGAGATCAGAACTGAACCTAAGATGTAAACAGAGACTCCAAAATCTACACCTCCAGATCAGTTCCACCTAGAGTAATGTGTGTATCACTATAAAAAGTACAGAGTTAAATCAATTCAGATCCTATGAATAACACAAGTACAAAAAGTCAAGCAAATACACACACACCACTTTCAACCTTCCCCTCTTCTTCCTCCCCCTCCTTCTCTCAGGGCAGCTGGCAAAATACAAAGGAGAGAAGTGTGCAACTGGTGCGATAAAGCTGGGAACATCTTGCTCTTCACGCGTCAGCATAATAAACTGGAGGCACAATTAAGGAGGGGGAGAGGGGGGAAAAAAAAATCCCCCCAAAACCCACGAGAACAAGTGCACCGTGCTGCAGCCGCGTTCAGCGCCTCAGTCCAGCTGCGGGTTGCCTTAAAGGACGCAGGAAAGAAAAGGACAACAGAGCTTTTCTTGGGTATGCAAATGCACAGACTGCAGCTACAAAGCATGTGTGTTTGAACCTCAGATGTGCTGCCATGATACTATTAAGGAGGTCTGATATATCAGCGTGTGCAAACATTGCTCTCTTTGTCTGAAATTCTCCCTGAAGAGCACACACAGTGGATAATTCATAAAAAGTCAATTGTTTGAAGGTGTTTAAAACTTTACGCCTGGACGAAACAGAACAAAGAGGCCTTATTTAAAGTGTGGAGTAAAAAAGGAGAAGCTCAATTCTTCAAAATGCAAACTCAATTATATAAAATTAAACCCTGAAAAGCATCAAGTTTTAGAGGTTCTTCCCTGAAGGTTTTTTTTTTTTCTAAAGAGATTCCTCGCCATTAAAACCTCCTCTCTGTTCTCACAATCCCCCTGAGGAGGCTGGTGCAAAGTCTGCCGCTGTCTGGCTGTTCCCATGGCAACCACCAGGTGAGCAGACAGGCTTGGAAAGCACGGCGGAGAACATGTGACTCCCTCCACATGCTCAGGCACACCACATACACACACACACACACACACACACACACACACATACTTTCTCCCTCTACAGGAGGAGAACTCTCCGTTATATCCAAACTTGTGAGAACACAGTGTAATCACAAAAAGGCAATGTTTGGGGAGACTGAAAGCAGACGAGCAGATGACCAGTCTGCCAGTCCGTCTGTTTACCACTCTCTGTGTCTGTCTCTCTCTCTGACACTTACATGCACACATATAAATACACAGTGTCTCATGTATTGAAGAGTGAGGAGGAGGAGGAGGAGGCTGTCTTAGAGGGGGGCAACTGAGATGTGTCATAAGCACTGAACGTCAAGTCCAGTTCTGCTACAGCGGCAAAAAAAAAATTTGAAAAAAGAAAAAAGAGGGGGGAGAAGGGGAGCATAGCACCTCTTTCAGGTCCAGTAATGCTTTGGGCTTAACTTAAGTTTCCAAAGCTGTTTTCACACAAGGTAAAATTGCAGAAAAGTTCCCTGAAATGTCCTGAGGGCCACACCTGTGCACACAAACAGCAAACTTTCACCCCTGATTCTTCCCAAGCTCTTCCCTTCCAGACTTTCGATAGATTTTCTGCAAAACAAAAAAGTCAGGGGGAAAATCACAGTGAGGGAGGTAGGTGTGGATGACGGGCTATTTAGTAATAACACCAGTTCAGTTGTTAGGCATCCTACCAAATATAATGACAATTCTCCTAATGGTTTCAAAACCACAACAATCCACATCATGGAGGCTGTAAAAGAAAAGTCATGGGCTTCATCCTCTGGGGACCATGACTGTCTGTAAAAAAATCATCCTGGCAATCCTTCAAATAATGGCTGAGATATTTTAGTGCAGATAAAAGTGGTGAACAGATGGACAGACCAACAGACAGACCATCTGACCGGCTAGAGCTGCACCTGTGAGGTTCACACAAAGAGTATTTGCAGTGTGTATTAACCATTGATTCAGGCTTATCTACCATTATGACCAGAACCTTTCAATCTGCAAACATAAGACTCATCAGACAGCACATTGACTCCACTGTCCATTTAGTTAATAGACTTTATATATGTCTACTCTCTTCAGGGTGCCTAAAAATCACTACATCTTAATTTGCCTTTGTCAAGAGTTTTTAGAAGCAGAATGAAAACATGCAGATGTCTCTTAAAGGGATATTCCGGCGTAAAATTTAGTTAGGGTCAAACACACAGTAACACCTAGTTAGACACCCCCTCCAGAGATGAATGTTGCCGATCACTTGCTTCTCTAGTTATACCAGCTTAAGTAACTACCGCATGATAGCAATACACAGCGGTCTGAAGCGCCACACGTTCAACCAAAACGCCACTCTATAGCGTCAAATAATGCTCAGAACAGCACTTAACTTCATCAACAGTACATATAGGGTCCCAGCCACAGCGCTAGCCACCAAACATCTTTTTAACTTTGCCTATTTTCTTTAGCAAAGAGAATAAACACAATTCACCTACTCTCTTCCAGCAGCCACTTGTTTGTAGCGAGACCTCGGGCCAGTCCATTACGGACTACAGCAGGGTGACACAGCTCAAGGAAGAACATTTATAATCATTTCTTCATGGAAATACAATCAGACAGAGACGCTAAAACAGAAGAACTACCGCATCTGCAGAGCAAAATGATTAATATGGTGATTATTACTTTTAGGAAATGATAAATTAATGATCATAAATGTTTTTCCTTGAGCTTCGTCACCCCGTTGCAGTAATGCACTCACCTAAGGTCTCCGTACAAACAAGCAGCTGCTGGAGGAGAGTAGGTAAGTTGTGTTTAATCTCTTTGAGGTGTGTTTAATCAGGGTCAAACACACCTCTGTCATGGTGTGTTTGACCCTGACTTAATTTTACGCGGGAATATCCCTTTAAAGACTAACAAATAAGAAATCAGATCATCAGCAACAGGATGTTCTTGTTGAAATTTTCAATTAACAACCTATTTTGTTAAGAAAACTCCTCTATTCTTTTGCTGTTTTATCTATAAAGCACCAAGAGCAGTTTACAAGAATCCACATATTCGTTTGTATTGATGTAATATGTTGCATAACTCATAGCACAGTAGCATGTGCACAGTTCTTGTGTCAATAGTGAAGAGAGTATTAGCATAATGGGACTGTTTATTACTTACTGTGTGTTGCTAACAAATTGGCTCACAGTAATTTGTGCAACCTGTTCTGCACCGCTCCTGACAGGTGCTGATGGATTACTCATAAATAGTGACAGGGCTTTATCTCTTTATACCACGAAATGTAAACAACAACAAATCACCATGCAATGTCTGGCTGTCTTTACAGCGTGCGATGGGCGTGTTTTGGAATAAGACGAATACAGGTTTGCCAAATCAAAATTGTTTTGTTGACGTAATTGAGCCAATCACAGGCGTTGTTTATTAAAGTGTCACAGGTGATGAATGAGGCTATATCGGTCTCCACTGTAGATCTGAGGACAGACAGAGGTACATTACGTCTCCTGTGTCCTCTCGTCTGAGCTCTGGCTAGGATTTGACTAATCAGACAGGTGACAGAGGTCAGCTTGCACACTCAAACCCTTTCTGTCTGTGTCCAAACGCTCAGGATGACACAGGATACCTAAATAGGACCGGGGTCAATCCACCCAGCTGACCCGCCTCTGACACTCTACTATTACACACTCATGCTGCATGTGTGTGACTCATCTTTAATTCATGTGTGCCTGAGATCTAAATGTGGGCTTGATTAAAAGCTGAACCACATAACATGAGCAGACACACATATGCACACACACACACACACAGATGCAGATGCACATTCCTCAGAGATTCCATCACTGTTTAAGCCCTCACTGAGGTTGTGTAAAAAAGTGCAGCAGGAGAGTGACACAGAGGCACACCTGCATGAATATTACATTACATGTGTTTTTGCTTTTACAGCCATGTGTGCGCCTCTTTCATGTGTTCTCTCCCAACCTCATGACTGCCACTGGCGTTTCTATAAGAAGAGAAGAAAACTCCTTCCCGCCATGGCTAAGTTGTGCTCCCGGCCTTTTGGGCTTTTGCAGCTTTTTTTTTCATTTTTTTCCAGAGAGGCGATTTCTGTGAAACACGACTCCAGAATAGTCTGGATCGTGTTGCCGTGGATTCCGTCTATCCGCCTGCAGGGTCTATAAATAGTGCCTGTCAGATATTTTCACTCCTGTGCTGAGCGCACTCAGTGGCAGAGCGGTGTATTAATATCCACAGTGACCAGGGCCGTGCTGCAGGAATGGGGGAGTATGTTGAGGAGGTGTGTTTGTGTGTGTGTGTGTGGGGAGGCACAAACAGGCAGAGCTCAGCAGGACTACACACAAGCAGCAGGCTGTCATCATCCACCCAACCTCCCTCTGCAGACAATAGACCTCTTTATGTCTCACTCTCTGCACAGAGCGTACACACACAGTCCAGCCTAAGGAGGACGTGATCTGAGTCACATTACCTTTTCACCCTGTTTACCTTATGTTGTTGCAACTGTCTCCCATAGCCACAGCCACCCTGAACAATGTCCCTATTACGCAATAAGATGTGATAAACCGCGCGAGAAGGGGAGGCCGTATCATCTTGATCATGAGAGTAAACAACAGGTCATGGATTGTGGCTGGATCCTGCAGCACATGAATTATATTACAGGAGGCTAATATCCCTGCTGCACAGTGCTAATCAGCCTTGAGAAAGAGCAGATCTGCAGATAACCCCTGAGAGCTTCAGCTGTGTGAGATTTAAAAAATAAATCTGGGCAACCACAAGGGTTTTTCAGGCAAACGAGGCATAATGAGCACATATTCAATACTAAAGGGAAGATTTTGAACCAGTTTCTGCAGCAGATATATGTGCAAATACTCTCTACTATTCTAGTCTGTTCAAGCTGCAGTATTTTATGACCTCATACACATATGCACATATCTAGTGACCGCCTTGTGTAACAGTAGAGGACTGCATAAGCAGTTTCAAAGCATCACATGTGAGCCTTAACAACCAGAGGTCGGATACACTGCAAAAAAATCAAATCTTACCCTATCACAAGTGAAAATGAATCATTACACTTAACTCAGCCAAAGGAACTCAGTCAGTCCAGATACAGTATAAATCTTATTTCAAAATATGGTGAGTGAAAAAGAAGAAATCAATCATTCGCTTAAATAAAAATGACCTCCAATGCAGAGGGCAAAGATTTCTCAGTCGATTTCATTATAACTCGTTACACTTGTTAAAAACAGCCATTTTTACCAGCTACTGTAAGTGAGACTAACTTACAATAATAGTATATTCAATGTGGCGCTCTAAATCAATCCATACATTAATAATCCATGCAGTCTCATTAATAAAACAAACAAGCATGTGGTGAACAGTAGTTGAATTATGTTGTATCTTAATTGCGTCCCATCAGATTGTATCGGAATGTATTGTGTTTTATCATATTAAATCATGGGTGATATCGATTAAAATACATTCTGATCATATTGCATCTTTATCATAACCCATCAAACTGCATCATATGCAGTGGAATCTGGTCATATTTTGTCAAACTATTTCATATTATAGCATATTTTATTGTATTTTATGACCTCAGGTTGTGAGCACATGTGATTTTTTACAGTGTACATCTGAACAAAAAAGCATGTAGTACATGTTTTGTGCACTTTTGTACATTTAGTTATTTTCTCCTCCTTTGTGTGAGGAAAAAAAAAAAAAACGCTCCCCTCTTCTTCAGTCATGCCGTATCATGCCTCTAACCATTAAACACACACAACAAATCCACATCAAAGAAGAAGAAATGCTGCAATAGTGTGATGATATTCAACATGGTTGCATCATGTCTCTACAGTAGCACTCTGTGTAGCATGAACAGAGACTGTGCAGAGAGCCTGCAGAGCGCTGCCTCTAGTGGAGAGGGTTGGTACAAAACAGCCCAGATGATCAACTTCAGGGATTAAAAACAGTAAAATACACTTTTTAAGCCTTTACTTTTAGGTCTGTATTAACAAATTCTTATAGACTCTGTGGATATTGGTTGAGTCGTTGTATTGAATGACAAGCAGAGCTTTCCTGTCATTGCAGCGGCTCCTGCATGAAAGAACATTGTAATGAGTTTATACTCATTTCAAATGGCTCTGAAGAGACTTGGATTTGCGTCAGTGAGGAGGGAAATAGTGTTTTGAAACATTAACTCTTTTTCATCGGGGTATTACAAAATCAGTTCTTTCCAAAAACGTGAGTCTGCCTAACTAACTCCTGTGTGGAAGGCACTGACCAAAAAGACCTCCAACATTATAATTTCTTATATTTTAGCAAAATCCCCTAAGGCCTGCAAAACTTTACACTCTTATAAGTCCGCAGCTAAAATAAGTAGCTGTTTGCAGCCAGAGCCGAGATAACCCTGAAAACATGAGGGAATATTTTCTCATAGAGCAACAAGATGTCTTCAGGACCAAAAATAGATGGACAGTTTACGCCCTATGTTAAAGAAGAGATCTGTACAATGCCCCCTGATTCTCTCTCGTTCATGCTTGTTTTTGTCAATCACAGAGGAAAAAGTGTCACAGTCAGTTCATACAAATATTAATCAGGAGAAAAAAGTACGCTGTGGCATTTACTTTTTAGAGTGCACTGAAAAAAGTTCTCTGAGACGTCATTGCGGACTTCCCTTAGATAAATGGTTAAGATTAGTTCTTATTTGACGTTCTTGCAGTACAAAGTGTCACAGGCAAAGATAAGAGATTACACTCGGCCTCTGTTTGAGTTTATTCTGTCGTTACGCAGGACATTCCAGGAGCCGCACTGTGTGACGTCTCACGCAGGGGATCACATTTCAAAAGGCACGTCTGGAGTGGCCCACAGTCAATCCACAGACCTTTTTCCTGTGGCAGCATTAAATAACTTCTTATTAGATAAAAGCAGCTGTTCACACAGGAACTATTCATTCCTCGGAAACTGTTCCGATAAACCCGTTTTCCTCTCTTTTGTTCCCTACTCTCTTTTTCTCCAGCTTTATAAATTCACTCCAATATCCTTATATGCCTCACTTCTCTCCCTCCCTCCCTTTTCCTCTTCCACCTCCTCCCCCTCCTCCTGCGCTGTGCCCAGCCTCAACTGGCGCCACAAGCAGGGTCATTTGGGGTTCCACACCAGAGGGGAAGGAGTAGAAACAATAATCTTACATTTTCACAGGATAAAACCGTGAATGAACCACACAGAGGGTGCAAAATACTCCAGGAGCACTGACCAAGGAAAGCTTCCCTTGCAATTATCTAAATGCAAACAAAAGACTGTTTTAACTCCCTGTGATAATTATCTCTTAGCAAACCCTAAATCCAGTGCCAGAGTTTGCCAGTGGTCTGTTTGGTGTATCCTAAGAGAGAGTAGTGTGCAGAGAGCAGAGCGCCTTGATGCAGTGCTGCTGTGTGCTGACAGAGGAGGAACAAAGGTGAAGCTGTGAGTACAAACTCTGCACAAAGACAGGAAACCTGATATTCCTGCTCTCTACATGGACTCTGTGCAGAGGGAGGGAGGGTGTGCGTGAAATATCAACAGCAGTGAACATAAAGTCCTGCAGGACACATGGAAATACTGCACTGCATATGCTTGTGCATGTGTGTGCTGCCTTCTTTTTTTCTGTACGGTTCATCTGCAGAACAATTTATCATCCCAAGCT